TTATGTACATCAATGGTGCTATATAAATAGGGAATAATTATAAGAGAGGATGCTTTTGCTATATAAGTAGCTAACAACAATAATAATACAAATTATAACAATAAGGAATTTGTTTTTTATTTGTATTTGTACAGTGCCATGTACATTCCTTGGTTTTGGTTTTTACTTGCACAGCACCATGGACATTGATAGTGCTATAAAAATAGCTAATAATAATAATAATTAAAGAATGTGTTGGCTTTCGCTATATTAGTAGCAAATAATAATAAAAATGTTAATAATAAGGAATATTTTATTGACAGAGGGCAAGCTATTTAACTTCAGCAGACTGAAAGCCAAAACCAAGATCACAACAACATCTGTTATAGCACTCCAATATGCTGATGACAATGTTGTCTGTGCGCATTCAGAAGATGGCCTACAAGTCACTCCAAGCACCTTTGCAGAAGCATATGAGCTCGGCCTCTCATTGAACATTGAGAAAACCAAAGTGCTCTTCCAGCAGTCACCAGTCAATCCCTCTGCAATGCCAGAGATATAGCTTAATGGGGTAACATTAGAAAATGTTAGCCATTTCCACTACCTTGGTACCCTCCTCTCCACAAAAATTAACATTGATACTGAAATACAACACTGCCTGAGCTCTGCAAGTGCAGCATTTTTCCGAATGAAGGAGAGAGTGTTTGAGGACTGGGAAGTCCGTAGGGAGACCAAAGTGCTTGTTTATAAAGCCATTGTCCTCCCAACCCTGTTATACGCTTGTGAAATGTGGACTGTCTACAGATGTCATATGCAACTCCTGGAACGATTCCATCAGCACTGCCTCTGAAAGTCTGCAAATCTCTTGGGAAGAGAGATGGACAAATGTCAGCATGCTGGAAGAAGCAAAGACCAGCAGCATTGAAGCGATGCTCCTAAAACGCATCGCACGTTGTCCGAATGCCCGATCACCATCTCCCAAAGCAGTTACTCTGCTCTGAACTCAAGAACGGGAAACAGAATGTTGGTGGACAGAAAAAGAGATTTAAAGATGGGCTTAAAACCTTTAAAACTGTGGCATAGACTCCGAGAACTGGGAAGCCCTGGTCCTTGAGTGCTCTAACTGGAGGTCAGCTGTGACCAGCAGTGCTGTGGAATTCGAAGAGGCACAAATGGAGGGCGAAAGGGAGAAACGTGCCAAAAGGCGCGTCAAGCCAACCCTGACCAGGACCACCTTCCATCTGGAAACTGATGTCTTCACTGCGGGAGAACATGTGGGTGAAGAACAGGGCTCCACAGCAACCTATGGAACCACCGCGAAGACCCCACATCTGGAAGACCATCATCCTCGAGCTACGAGGGCTCACCTAAGTCAGTAAAGCAAGGAAGGACTGGAGGGATTTGAGGGGACTAACCTCTAGTGTACTCTACAGCCAGAGATCACACTGACCCCCACCAATGATGCATCTGGAGCAAACCTGCCCAACATAACAAAGTTTCAGGGGCTAACCTGACATAATGTGAGCTGCAGTTTACCCATCACCTTCTGCGTTAGGTAAAATTTAAAAAATGACTTTTTCAAATACAAAGTAATAAAAATAATGATCCTTCCACATTTCCGGCAGCTTAGGCCTCACGCATGCGCAGACTTCGCCCCAAGCTCCAGCTGCGCATGCGTGCTTCTAATCTTTCTTTTACTGTCTTGCCAGAGTAGGCCAAAGCCGAAGGGTAGGGCGAAGCTGGCGCATGCGTGCTGAATTCTCTCCCTGTGTCTTGCCGAAGTAGGCCGCACTCTCAGAAGTTCTCCTCAGAAGCGCACGCCATGAGGGAAGCCAGGCTTGAGGTAAAACGACTAGGCCGCGTCTCACCTGGCGGCGAGGGAAAAGCAGCAGCAGCAGCCGGGCTCGAGCGGGCTCTCGACGGGGAAAGACCCCGGCTCTTCGGGAGGCCACTTCTCCGCCCTCCTTGCTTCCTTCTTCCGCCACTTCCTCCTCCCCCCCCCTCCTCCGCGGGAAGGCAGGCCCGCCCCTTCCGCCCGCAGCCTAGGCCGCCCCGCCCTCGCAGCAGCAAAGGCCTGCAGCCATAGAGGAGGGTAATAAGTAGAATAATAGAATAGTCATAATATAGTAATTATTACTTTGAAAACAGAAATGGTAGTAATAATAATAATAATAAAATAATATAAAATACATAATATATATAAATAAAATATAAAATATATAGCATATCATAATAAAGTAACATATATAATATATAAATAAAATAGATATAATAAAAGATACAAAATACAAATGCATATTATAATACAAAATATATAGTATCTAATATATAAATAACATAAAATATATGGTATGCAATAACAATATATATAGTATATATATATATATATATATAAAATAGATATAATAAAATATATAAAATACAATACATATTATAATACAAACTATATTTTATGTAATATATAAATAAAATATATAGTATCTAATATATAACAAAATATATGGTATGCAATAACAAAATATATAGTATATATAAATAAAATAGATAATAAAATATATAAAAATACAAATACATATTATAATATAAAATATATATTATGTAATATATAAATAAAATATATAGTATATAATAAAATGTATAATATATGAGTAAATAATAGATGTAATAAAATATATAAAATAAAAATACATATAATAATATAAAATATAATATATAAATAATAAAACATATGATAAAATATATAAAATTCAAATAACAATATAATATATATAAATATATATAATACAAATACAATAATATAAAATATATTATTTATAATATATAAGTAAAATGTATATAATAAAATATATAGAAATACAAATATGTTAGCTGTGTAATGCTTCAAAGATACTAAATCAGTCGTTTTGTATTTTTAAAGTTTTTTAATATATATTTTTATAAACAGGTCACGTGATAAAATAGCACAAGAAACACTTACCAAATATAAGGTTATATCTTCGGAATATACAGGAGAAGGAGGCTTATATATATACAGTAAGAAAATGATTTTTTAGAATTTTATTATTATTTTCTTCTTTCCCCTCCCTTTTATAGTCATTTGAAACATCACAGCTTCCATTGTTTTAAATAAGACTTTGGACTAGCGGATACTTTAAATAGAGGTGCAATGGGGACAATGGTGCAATGTCTCCCATGCAAGCCTCCATGAACAAGGGGAGCTGTTCCCATATATATGTCAATGCGGCTTTCACCGAAGACATTCCTCCTAAGGGGTTGTGCCCAAAAACTCTTGGACCAAGACATTAGTGCCACTCTTGCAGGAAATGGAGTCAACTCTCGGCCAGATCCAAAATAGGAGTCATTTAGAATATTGCTGTTTGCACTGGCTTCACCAAATGGCCAACTTTACACCTTTGCTTTCAGTATCTTTTCTAACACTTCTTTCTCATTCGACTTTTTTCCATTTTCCACTATCTCTTTGCAACCATTTCCCTTGATTCTGTTTACATTGAGAGTTTAATGCAGATATAATGTGATTTGCAGTCTGAGGCTGGATCTACACTACATCATCATCATCATCATCATCATCATTATTATTATTATTAGCTGCCTTGAGAATCCATTGGGATAAAAGCAGGATATGAATAAAGATAATAATAATAGGGTTGCTGCGAGATTTCCAGGCTGTATGGCCATGTTTCAGAAGCATTCTCTCCTGACGTTTCGCCTACATTTATGGCAGGCATCCTTAGACATTGTGAGGTCTGTTGGAAACTAGGCAAGTGGGGTATATATATCTGTGGAATGTCCAGGGTGGGAGAAAGAACTCTTGTCTGCTTGAGGCAAGTGTGAATATTGCAACTGACTACCTTGATTAGCATTGAATGGCCTTGCAGCTTCAAATCCTGTCTGCTTCCTGTCTGAGGGAATCCTTTGTTGGGAGATGTTAGCTGGCCCAGATTGTTTCCTGTCTGGAATTCCCATTTTCTGAAAGTTGTTCAGCAGAAAGGAGGAAACCATGAAAATGAACAAAATCTGGCTACCAGTATTTAAAAACTCTAAAATCAGGACAGTAATTAAAGAATAGCATTCAGAAAAGGGGGGATTCCTGGCATGAAACAATTCCAGGCACGAAACAATCACTTGCTTAGTTTCCAACAGACCTCACAACCTCTGAGGATGCCTGCCATAGATGTGGGCAAAACGTCAGGTAAGAATGCTTCTGGAACATGGCCATGCAGCACAGAAAACTCACAGCAACCCAGTGATTCTGGCTATAAAAACCTTCGCGACAACACAGAAGAAGAAGAAGAGGAGGGGGGGGGGGAGAAGACAAAGGTGATAGACCCATGTAGCCTGGATCTACTCTGTCATATAACATCTAGATTATCTGTTTTGAATTGGATTCTATGGCAGTGTAGACTCATATAATCCAGTTCAAAGGAGATAATCTGAATAATCTGTTTTGATAATCTGGATTATGTGGCAGTGTAGATCCAACCTAAGTGCATTCATGGCAAAATTGAAATGTAATTCAGGGATTTCTTGGTCCATGTCTCATGTTCCTGACTATACTCATTGTCCCTTTTCCTTGTCTTGCATCACTGCTCCAAATGACTGCAGGGATGCAAGGCAAGGAAGTCCCTGAAAAAAAGTGCTGTCCCTGCTATGATGTTTTCCAAATGCAAAACTAATCCATACTTAATTTCCTTGCACAGCATTTCTGTATTTGGAGTATGACCCTTTCTCCTTGTGGGTTCCTTTGCAATTTATATTCGCATTTGACTCCAGCAAGAGAAGGTGACTGCTGCAAATCATCTGGTCCAAGGATCAATTTCTGATAGCACCGACTCCTCTCTTTGATAAGAAAAGGACATGTCAGGACTTGGGATAATGGCTTTTTGGACTACCGCTCTCAGAATCTCACAGCCAGCATGACCATTGATGGTGGGATTCTGGGAGTTCTTGTTAAAAAAAAAACACCACCTCCAGTCTACAGCGGGGGGGGGGGGGGGGGGGGGGGGATGGGACACACCCTTTCTGAAGGCACTCTCTGCTATTCAATGGCTTTGTCTTCTGTGCCCCACCTCAGACTTACTTGCCTTTCCCTTGTGATGGTCTCAAATGGAAAACTCTGGATGGAAAACTCTGGACACTGAAGCTTCTGTGTGTTAATGAAGGATTTCATGGCCAGAATCACTGTGGAATGTCTAGAGTGGGAGAAAGAACTCTTGTCAAGCCAGGCTTTGAAACCGTAAGGCTATTCAATACTAATCAAGGTGGCCCATTGCAACATTCACATTTGCCTCGAACAGACAAGTGTTCTTTTTCCCCATCCTGGACTTTATTCCACAGATATATAAATCCCACTTGCGTAGATGCCCGACCACCGTCTCCCAAAGCAGTTGCTCTACTCCGAACTCAAGAATGGAAAACGGAATGTTGGTGGACAGGAAGAGAGATTTAAAGATGGGCTCAAAGCCAACCCTAAAAACTCTGGCATAGACACTGCGAACTGGGAAGCCCTGGCCCTTGAGCGCTCCAGCTGAAGGTCAGCTGTGACCAACAGTGCTGTAGAATTTGAAGAGGCACGAATGGAGGGTGAAAGAGAGAAACATGCCAAGAGGAAGGCGCGTCAAGCCAACCGAGACCGCCTTCCACCTGGAAACCAATGCCCTCACTGCGGGAGAAGATGCAGATCAAGAATAGGGCTCTACAGTCACCTACGGACCCACCAGAATACTGCTCCTGGAAGACTATCTTACTTGTTCAACGAGGGATCGCCTAAGTAAGTAAGTAGTTTCCAACAGAACTCACAACCTCTGAGGATGCCTGCCATAGATGTTGGCGAAACATCAGGGGGGAATGCTTCTAGAACATGGCCATGCAGCCCGGAAAGCTCACAGCAACCCACTGAAGCTTCTGCTCACAGATAATGTGAAAACTGGGGGAGGGAGGGTGTTTTTGGTCTTCTGCTTAGTATCCCCCCCCCCCCCCCCGCCCCGCCACAAGATATCATTCAGGCATAGGATATAAGCCATCTCTTTTCTAATATACTCACCCAAGCAGAAAGGCTTATTGGGGACCAAAATTCTAATACAGATCTGTGTCACATTTACAGTCAACAGTAAATCGTGTGTATGACAATATATATTAGTACCACATGCTAATTTGGACTGTTCACCCCACCCCTTTTAATGATCCAAATGTAAATGGTTCCTATATCTCTCTGTTATGCATTCGACCGAATATGGATTTGCTGCTGCTCTTTTGTCTCTGACTGGATTTAGACTATTATTAGTCTTTTCATATTGAAACTTGGCATTCAAATCCCGGAGCTGATTGGGTACTTTTTCAACTCCCAAAATGTTGAACACTCCTTCAATTTTTATTGTTTTGAAGGATAGGACAATCCCACTTCGTTTTCTCTTTGCACTTACCCATTCCCTTGTCCTATTGTTTACAGCCTAGCCATGTTTACTGTAGCTTATCGCCATTATTTATTGAGTGCTGTTTTATTGAGTCTTAAGTTGTTGTTTTATATGCCTATATGTATTATTCTGTTGTATTTTATACTGTGTCTTATTTTATGTTTTGGTTTTAGGCATCTTGTGCTGTTGTGTAAGCTGCCCCGAGTCCCTTTGGGAAGATGGTGACTGGATACAAGAATAATGTTGTTGTTGTTGTTGTTATTGTTATTATCCAACATCCTTTTGTAAAATTAGCCTCAACTTATTTCCATTGTTTCTTTTAATGAAGAAATTTGCCGATTTTAGTAAATGCTTAACAGCAAACTAAGGAAATCAAATAGTTACACCTGCTTCCTCTGCAGGTATTAAAGAAAAGCAAATAATTGGCTGCACAGATTCAGTATTCCAAATGCAGAGGAGTAGTCATTTAAACTAATCAATTGATGATTTCTGCTTCATTAAGTCAATCTGACCATTTCTTTTTTTGATATGAATGTTTTCCTCCCATTCTTTTTATGAAATTTATGAAGTTCATTATGGGGACTTCTTCCAGATGCTCTGCTTTGAACTGAATGATATGAGTCTACACTGCCATATAATCCAGTTCAAAGCAGATTGTCTGGATTCAGGAACTGGATAATTAGGCAGTGTAGATGGGACCTTATTTCAAAAAAGAAGAAGAAGAAGAAGCCAAATGAAAACCTCACCAATTTCCTACTCTCTTGTAATCATTTGGCTGCTATTGAATGCTCAGAGACCAGACTCTGGAGGTAACATTTCTTTCTTTTGTATATACAGCAACTGAAGAAATGAAAAGCAGAGTGGATTTATCAGCTGTGGTGAAAAAAAAATCTGCTCTTTGGCGTCTCTCACACATAATGGAAGCTGGAACGTAAATTTAAAACAATATTATGTGTCAGGGGACAACAGTTTGTTACTATTAGTTAATGTTATGGGTCAGGAAGCAAAAGTTTTGTTTGCATTGTGCTTGCCATTTTAAAATGTAACTGTTTGATTTCCTAGGGTTTTTAAGTAACTAAAAATATTTATGTTTTTAAAAGACGTCAGAATGCCCAGGGTCCCAAAAAACCCAAATAGTGAGGCTGTGCAAGTATAAAAGTGAATAAAAAGAGCTACAATTAGATTACAAAAGCACTTGTGTCATCCCTTGTTAGTTGTTTTGACACTGCTGGTGTAACACATATATGCCTTAATCACTGGAGAAGGAAATATATCACCAGCAGCTCTACTATTAGTACTCCATAAAGTCCAAGTGCTCGCCTAATAGCAGCCATTCTATCCAACTGAAGCAGGAGATATGGAGTGGCAATTTGGCTGAGAGATCAGGGATACCTGAGGACAAGATTTTTCCGTGCAGTTGCCATGCTTCATTTAATCAACTGTGTAGTGATCCATATAATGTCTTCCAAATTTGCACCATGTTTTACCACCATTTCTTCCACCCTTGTTTTTCCTGCAGAAAATTCCCATTAAGGAAGAAAGCCTGCAACAGCCATTGAATATCATTTGATAATAGAAACCTGTTTGAAAGCACCCACATTCCATTTTCCTCCTTTTCGGAGATGTTTCAGTTCAACCCTATTTCTGTAAAAATTTTGGAATTTATAATTGCAATTCATGCCTGAGTTTGTGCCCCCCCCCATCCCCCTTTTCATCTCATTCTTTGCTTTTCTGGAGATAAGGGTTAAAAAATACTGTAAATCAAATAAGGAATCACCTGATGCTTAGCCATCCAGAGATGGATCCCTACATATTCAGTCATTTCCAAATCTGTGAAATTAAAGGTTTAAATATTACAGAGCCTATGAAGTTTCCTCAGCAGTGTACAGAGTTTTCCAGAGAGCCAACTTTTGAGACGGCTGAAGCTAGCAAATGGCATGTTCAAATAGATTCCCTCCCCCCTTTGGAATCGCGTAATCCGTTCTCCACTCTACCGTCAAGCTTCAGGGGAGTTTGAGGCGGGATATTGAATCACGTGACCAGGAACCCCATCTATGACCCACAACAGGCAAGGCCTCCCCCTCAAAAAAAAACCCACCCCAACTCCCACATTCACTTACCCAACCCTCACAATCATGCAGTTCTGCAGGATACGCAAGGCAGGATGAAAGAGCAGGGAGTTGTAAAACGTCACCCTAAAAAAATAGGCTGGCTTAAAGCTTTACAAAGATGTTATGGCAACAAAATGTTTCGCACCGAAGAAATACCAATGTTTTTTTTAAAAAGTGGTTGTCAAAAGCAAGTTTGTTCATGAGTTCCGTACAGATGAAGAGCACGCTGATCTCCAGGCACATCCATTGGGTGTGATGTGGGAGCAGTTTGCCATTGCACATGGTGTGTGCGCCACCATCCGGGGCAGGTTGCGTGGCCTTGTATGGAGAAGCATCGTAGGCCTCTGAGCCAGTCTGTTTGCCCAAGCACAAGTGATATATATAGATAGATATATGTGGATGATAGGCTGGGATGGATTTTCCTGTTCACAAGAGTCACAAACAGATTGATTCTTTCCCCCACAGCATCCCCACATCATGCACAATGATCCATGCCACTTCTTCCCTTACCCCTCTCTGGTAATCAGTTGGGATTAAAAAAAAATCAATGTAATGCAGGCATGGGCCAACTTTGGCCCTCCCTCCTTTGGACTTCCACTCTCACAATTCCTAACAGCCAGTAAGCTGTTATGAATTGTTGAAGTCTAAAATACCTGGAGGGAGGGCTGAAGTTGGCCCATGCCTGATGTAATGTATCTCCTTGTACACAATAACATGTGCACGGTTCCTTCCAGATATCCGATGAGCATTTACAGAAAGGTATTTTCAAACCCCTCCACTACCCGCATGGTCTACAACCAGAGCTTTTCAAACTGCACCGCAACACATTAGTGTGTCAGCTGCAATGCGAGGTGTGTCGTGCGAACCTCACAAGAAATTACAAAAAAAATCCTGGAAATGTATGTAATTACATGACAAATCTTATATTTCTGAAAAATATATAAATGAAAAGGCTTTTATGAGATATGTTACGGCTTCATATATTTAATTGTTACAATTTCTGTCTGTGTCCGCATCTCTTAACCTCCATTGTGTGCGTTTGGAAAACTGTTGTGAATTGTTGCTCATCTAAAAAGGCATGTCTCCAACACAAAATGCTTGGAAAGCTCTGGTGTACACATCTCAACAGTAGCCTGGCAACTAATTTGGGGGAAGTGGGGTGGAGTGGCGAAAATGTGCTATAATGTACCTGTCCTTTTGTGGGATTAGCTCACCAGAGATCATAGAATGCTTCCTTAAACCAAGTTAGGTCATCGATTCTCACAGAGCATAGAAAAGGCCCGGGGTGGGGGTGGGGAGGGGAGTACAGCTCCTAAATCACTGGATAGGGATGTTATAGGTTTTTGAAGTGTGTGGTTTCTGGGCTGTATGGCTGTGTTCTGGCAGCATTTTCTCCTGATGTTTTGCCTGCATCTATGGCTGGCATCTTCAGATGATCTGATGGTGGTAACACGAGTGGAGTTCATAATATAGCAGTGGAATGATGTCCAGGGTGGAAAAATGAACCAATGTCTATTAACCAAGTATTAAGGATCCAGTTAGCAAGCTTGATTTGTAAGTGTTTGAATGAGATCCATCTGTTATCATGTGAGTGAGAATATTACATAGTCAATAGTGAGGGCATCTATCTTAGAAGTATCCTGGCCTTCATCTCCTTTGAATTGTTTGCTGCCTGGAGACATCCTAAGTCTGGGTGGTGCTCATTGGCCTTTAATTGCTTGCTGCCTGGAGGCCTCCTCTATATCTGGGTGGCGTTCATTTGTCAGTCTTAATTCTGGTGTTTCTCAATACTGGTAGCCACATTTTGTTCATTTTCATGGTTTCTTCCTTTATGTTGAAATTGTCCACGTGCTTCTTGTGGATTTCAATGGCTTCTCTGTGTCATCTGACAAAGTGGTTGTCAGAGTGGTCCAGAATTTCCATGTTTTCAATATTCTGTGCCCTGTAAAGGGTGGAGTTAGCAAGCTTCATTTGTGTATGTTGAGTAGGATCCACCCATTAGTATGTGAATAACCATGAAGATCATATAGTCAATTACTGAGGGCATCTGAACAGAGATCTGAACGTGATCAAAATTGGGCTACCAGTATTGAGAAACAAGGGGCTGTGGTGGTGCAGTGGGTTACACTGCTAAGCTAAAGAACTTGCTTACCGGAAGGTTGGCAGTTCGAATCCAGGGGGCGGGGTGAGCTCCTGCTGTTAGCCCCAGCTTCTGCCAACCTAGCAGTTCGAAAGCATGCAAATGTGAGTAGATCAGTAGGTACCACTTCAGCGGGAAGGTAACGGCGCTCTATGCAGTCATGCCAGCCACATGACCTAGGAGGCATCTATGGACAATGCTGGCTCTTCGCTTTCGAAATAGAAATGAGCACCACCTCCCAGAGTTGGACTTGACTAGACTTAATGTCAAGGGGAAACCTTTACCTTTTTATTGAGAAACACTAGAATCAAGATAGTAACTAATGAATTCCACTCAGACACAGGAGAACTCCAGGCAGCGTAATCAAGGGCCAGTGAGCACTATCCAGGCCAAGGATGTCTCTAAGGTAGCAAACAATTCAAAGAGAACAATGGCCTGGCTGTTTCCAGGCAAATGTCCTCACTATGCCATCTTCATGGTTACTCACATGCTAATGGATGGATCCCACTCAACACTTGCAAACGAAGCTTGCTAATTGCACCCTTCACATTTGGTTAATAGACATTGGCTTTTTCTCTCACCTAGGACATTATTCCGCAGGTATATTATATATCCCACTTGCTTTGCTACCATCAGATCCTCTGAAGCTACCATACACAGATGCAGGCCAAACAAAAAAAAAAAAGAGGAGAAAATGCTACTAAAAACATTGGCTATACAGCCCAGAAACCACGCCACAACACCCCAGATATTCCAGTTGTGAAAGCCTTTGACAATACATGTTACGAGTTTTTTTAAAAAAAAGGATTTAAAAAGTAACTTTTCTGAGCTCTTTTTCCCGTGTCATTTTTACTGACAGCCACTCTCCACAGTTTTGAGATAGATGGCTTTCCCAGACCATTGGGGCAGTTCAGGGACCATTGCATGGCCTTTGCTGCATTCTGCTTGGGCATGTCCATGTAGGAGGCCCTGGTGGCGCAGTGGGTTAAACCCTTGTGCCAGCTCCCTCTATCAGCTCCAGCTCCTCATGCAGGGACATGAGAGAAGACTCCCACGAGGATGATAAAAACATCAAATCATCCAGGTGTCCCCTGGGCAACGTCCTTGCAGACGGCCAATTCTCACACCAGAAGCGACTTGCTCCTGACATGACAAAAGAAAAATGTCCATGTATTGGTACATGCTCTTGGCTTGGAGCCCATATTTTTAATCTCTGGGATGATGCAATATAGGAGACATTATAGGGAATTATAAATGGCAGCTGTAAAGTGCAACTTGTCAACATGGGAGGGATGAAAGGGAACACAGTGGATGGCCTTGTCTCATAGGGTCCCTCAGACCCAGAGCTGGCCCTTTCAGAGCACCGTTTGCACGCAATGCATGGGATCTCAAACTCTTCTGCAGCAAACATAGGAAGGACACTGCGGCTTAATATCAGCAAGAACCAGAGGAATTATGGTAGCTATTGTTACAATTCACAGTGGCTCCAGAGGAGTTAGTTACCATTCGGGTTTTCAAAGATTTACATGTGAATGTTATCCAAAAGTAACTAAATTATTACTTTTTTATTAGTTTAAAAACAAAAAAATATGGCCTTGGGTTGACATCATATTCAAGTAGTGAGAATATCACATGAAACTTTAAACATCTGAAGAATGTTTATGTTTGAAAAGGGGTACTCAGAATAGTAATAGTATTATTATAATCTGAGTTATGCATTGGTTACCTCACCAAAGAACTAATTTGTAATTCATGCCTTCTGATTTCTGGTGAGGTTTATTCGGCTCATATGGCCTGCCTTAGCCAACAATAGCTTTCCTTAGGAATCTTTCTCAGTCACTTCTTCCCAGTATGCCTGACATTCTTAGAATGGCTATTTAAAAATGGTTTTAATAAACATAAAGTGTCCTTACTGCATGGCAACTGATCATTGAAAAGTGCATTATCTGAAGCTTCTGGTAAATTAATTCAATGTCAGCAAACATCGGTTAATTTACATGTTATCACTTGAACTGAATTAGATGGGTGGTGTCTTTGTTTTTCTCCGTTTCTTATGATATTGGAACCTAGTGAGGTCTTTTGCTCAAATTGAATGTTGGGAGATTCAGGACAGGTAAAAAGAATTATTTTTTACATCTTGGAGAAGTAATCATGGAACTTATGGAATTAGGGATAGCTGTCAAACTGGGTGGCTTTACAAAAGAAAAGGTTTTGGAGGATGTGGGCTATCAGAGGCTACTAGCCATGATGGATATAGAGTCTATTTCCTTAAATATTACAAGAAGGCGGCTTTTGAACACTAGTTTACATGAATGGCTTTCATATTGATGCCCAGTGTCTGCCCTCTGTGTGGAAAGACTGCTGAACTAGATAGGGACTTCATATAGTTATACTATTTTTTTTAATAAAGTGGCTTTTTAACTATTTAAAATGGCTTCATGTATATGTAATTTTTCATAGATAAATAAATCTGCTTGGAGTACCTGGAAAGTGTTGAAGCAGGGAGCAGGAAGTGAGGCTATCCTTGGTGACTAAATGCATCACTGGTGTTGAAGTTTGGCATGAATCAAGCCCTAGATAGAGACTGGTGACACTGGCTGTACTGGGAAGACTTAAAAGAGATAAGGTGGACAGTGCCAGTGATCGCATTCTGCTGGCATTGGGGGCGATGGCTTGACTGCTGGAACAACCCCAGCTGGGTCTTCTCCAGATGTGCTGGGCAAGAGCTCCCACCGTACCCAGAGTATGGGACTTGTAGTCCAACACAGGTGGCTGGACTGCGGAATGGTGAGCTATGGGAACTTTGGAATTAGAGGCTGTTTCTCCATTGCTATACATTCCCTGCCCCTCCAACCAGACAGAGCCGATGGTTAAACATTACAGAACCCTCTTCCCAAACCACAGAAAAAATTAGAAGGCCACCAAAACACCCATGAAGTGGAAACCTGCACAGTGTGTTGTAGTAAAAGGCCTGGGACTGGATTAAAACAATAGGTGGTTGCTTTGGGCATCGTAATTCCATGGGCACTTGGCCATCCCGCTAGAGCAGGTATGGGTCAACTTCAGCCCTCCCTCCAGGTGTTTTGGACTTCCAACTCCCACAATTCCTAACAGCCAGTACAAAACAGCTAGAGGACTGAAGTTTGCCCATGCCTGCACTAGAGGGAAAGACTGCCTTCTGTTCGCAGAACTTGGAGACAATGTGACCTGAGGTCTTATGGCATTAATTTCTCTGTCTTCTAAATGCCTCTCCCTGCACTTGTTCCACTTGTACGAAACAAGGAAACAGGATTGCAACCACCTGGGACACTCTTGAGGATGAGGACTCAAATCTCCCCTTTGGTCCTTGCCAACTTCAACAAAAGCAAAATGCTTTTGGCCCTGAAGATTCTCTTCTGATATTCCCCCATGACAGAAGCCAGTGTGATCTAGCTCATGGACATACAATTCTAAGTATGTTTATTTGAAAGCTAAGGCCTTTCATGCAATAGGATGTGCTCCCAGGGAAGTATGCCTGCACTTGTAATGACTTAGGGTTGGTTGGTTGCCGGCACACTTGCCCTGCACAGTGGAGCAAACAGGCAGTGATATTTTCTACCACTCTCAGAGAGAAAGGCACCCAATGCTCAGGCATATTCTTTTGAAAGGAGAAAGGCGGGCACTTTGAGCACTGCCTGGGCAAATGCCCTCCTCACGCCTGGTGGAGAGGGCAACTTCCGTTATTGGTTAACACAGCCAATGGAGCCAAAATGCACAGGCACTAAAGCGAGTGGTGATGGTGGGCAACGACGCTCCTTAAAAGCATACAAGCAGTGGTTTGGAAAGACTCGGCACAGCAATACAGCTTGTTGCCTCAAAGAGCTGTGCTATCCATCCAGGTCTTGTAATAAGAAGTTGCTCCACCCAGGAACAGATAGATCTCCATGGCAGCTTGTGGATGGAGATGGAGAATGAGTGCCTGAGTCAACCAACCTGTAAACAACAATAGACAAGGGCCTCTAAAAGCAACTCAGTGGAAGCAACGTGGAAACAGCCCAAGGATGGCCAACAAACAGGTCAGCCACGTCCTTGGCTCAGAAGAAAGCGGATGAGAGGGCCATATACAGCGCAGGCTGCTGGTATAGTTGGAAACGGGTGGGAAAGAGCGGGTGTATTGTAACTGGCTTGTAAGCAGCTAGATAAGAGGAATCTAAGGAAGGAGATGCCTTTGCCTGTTCAGGGCAGGATCAGGGCACAATCTGCTAAAGATCCATGTCTCAGTCAATGGAAATATGGATGGGATAAAATGCCACATCAGCTTTACAGTGGGACAGACAAGCCAAGCTGGGGTTGAGGCTGCCGCCTGAAGTCCTACCCAGCGGACGTAGAAGCCAGAGCCTGCCTTACATCGAGACGGAAGCAAGCTAGCATGCAAAGGCTGAAGGTTTTGTTCTGAAGAGAGGAGAAGGGAGGGAAACTTATTCATTAGCAAAAGAAAAGGGGTTTTAAAAGGAAATTTTAAAAATTCAAAACAAAAAGAGGCAGACGTTATCTGCCAAAAATCACCGCATGACCTTAAGGGTCAGCCAGGATTGTTCAGGTGAGCTTGTAAAATCCGTTTTTCTGGGAAACTTCGCTCCTTGGCCTGTTCTCTGGATGAAGCCAAAGGCCAGTTGGCAACCCGCTTCACTTTCAGAAGCATCCCTTGGTCCTAAATCCCCAAGGGTCTCCAAGACAAGCTTCGAAACTTTCTTACGCAGCATGAGCCGATTTCCTTGCACATTTTCAGCTCCCCTGCTTCTCTTTATGAACACTTTTCTGCAGTGTCCATTTCCTGGAATCCAGTGGCAGAGCCCATGCACATCCAGAGCTGTTCCATCCGTCTGTCATCCCATGAACCTCCTTTCTCAGAAGGGCGCTCTTCGTTCCTCCATTCGCTTTCCACCTCAAACGCAGAGGACGGCGACCATTCCATCGGCAGGCTCGACCGTACAGGATCCATACCTGGGAAAACCTTCAAGAGGACTTGCCCCAGAATCTTGCCTTGCAACCCAACTTCTATCCACCATGACACGAAACGCCTGGGCGGAAACCGCTTTTATCCAGCACTGAGTGGCAACAACATGCCCACCAACTCACCAATCTGCCATTGCAGTTTCTTGCTCATTTTCTATGCCTCTTTCATTTGTTCTTATTATATTTTTTGAGTTTTTATCTTTTTTTTTCTTTCCAAAAATTATGATTTCAGGACAGATCACTACAAGGAAGGCAGGAGATGATGGAGGCATAGAAATTTACAAACTTGAGGAGGGATTCATTCACTTGTCACTGCCACATCCTTACACCAAGTGTGTTGTCCATCCGATGATCCAGGTCTTTGTTCATGACAGCTTGCATTGTTTTTTCTCTCTGTGTGTGTAAGTGTGGCTTCAGTCACAGCATCCGTCCCGGGGAAAAAATCTAGATAGTATATATATTTATATTTATATATACATATATATATATATTAAATGAATAAATAAAACCATGACTCTGATTGGTTGTTCAGTGCTGGGTTGGGATTGAAGGTCTTGGCTCCAGACGTTGGTCAGATTCTTTCCAGGAGCTGCTTATTCGATCACCATGCAACGCGGCAGGTGCTGCGAGAAATACTTGAAAAGCTCTGGAGTGGCCCCTGGGCAGTTAGTCAACTCCAGCTCTTCCAGGTCTTGAAGCTGGACAAGGCCTGAAAGTCCAGTGGTGGTCAGCAGAGGGCAGCCTGCAAAAGCAGAACCGGAGAGCATGCAGTGAGTGAGAAAGCTCCACTCATACAATTGCCAGCAACATCATCAGTGAATAATACCAACATTCATGACGTGATGTTTTTGAATCAATGGCTCTGAGAACAAATCAAGCGGGGGCCTCAAGGACAAAATCACCAAAACAAACAAACAACAAAAGAAATAGTTCATGTGTGCTATTTCACACATTAACCCTTTCTTCCTTTCATTCCACAGTGTGAATGAGGTTTTGCTCTCACCTGCAAGAGAGAGGAGGCGTAAACTCCTCATTCCCAGCAAATGCTTCAGGCCAAAGTCTTGCACCTGTAAAGAGCAAAGAAGTCAGGAATGTGAGCAAGCATTCTTCCAACACTAGGAATTAAGACTTTTCTCGTGGATGTTCTGGGATTCGGACAGTTGATGCAGTTGGTCTCTGGGGCTCCCACAGTATTTTCTTTCAGGTATCCAAGCTAAAATAAAACCATGCATTTCTTTCTCATCCATTGCTTAAGACATGTCCCAGCTCAACTAAATAGCGCCAATCAGACTTAGCTAGCGCCGCATCCTTTATTATCAATGGAGTCAGTAGGTTTTGTTCCTCCCCCATGAAATATCTAAACATGCTGAAGGTTTCCAGCCAGAGGGCCTTCACTCTGGCACGTTGCCATGCTCTCCCATCTGCCGTATTGAAAGGCTGTTACCAGAAGACCTCCATACGCCGAGAGATGGTGCCCCTGTGACTCAGGACACATAGAGACAACAGAAAATGTGCTTCTTCAGTGCCTGTTCTATAGAGATATTAAATCCCATCTCATTACGCTATACAAATACACAGGATACTCCGGACAATTTTACATCTCCCTGCTGCTTTCAGACACTAACTCGGCTGTAACTTACAATGTCACCAAGTTCTGCACGGCAGCGTTTGAAATCCAGTTGTCTCATAGCACAAGCTAGTACAAGTCGGGACTTCATACTAGCAGAAAATTGGGATTGCAGTCTTAATTATAGTATGGATGTTGTTCCCTCCTCTGTTTGACTGGACTTCCTTTCCCTGTGCCTCATGAGCACCCTATTCCCTCCCTTTAGATTCCCTTCCCTTTAATTCCATAAATTGTGTTGGGTTTTAATATAATCCTGTATATGGCATTTAGTTTAGATTTTCAAGTTAATTATCTTAATGTCCTAACAATAATACACTTATTTTAAAGTTTTAAATCTCTTAACCCTTAACTCTGATATGCTTGTATGGGACTACGTCTCTCTTCTCTCGAACTGGTCACTGACCATAATAAAATGAACTTGAACTTGAACTTAAATATCAGAAAAGCTTCCTTAACTGTGATTCCTTTCCACCTTGCCTATTTTGGCTTCGTACTTTCTAAAATGCAATCCATATAAATAAATAGAGACAAGACAACAGCCCCATAGTTCCCACCACAGAGAGATTGCTGTTTGTTCTTGCAAAACAAATGATCAGAATACTAACGATAAAAAGTAAGTCKGAATCAACAAATATTTCCCAAATTTAGTTGAAAGATTTGCTGGATTGAGTTCCATTCTGGTAAAGCTTCATAGCCCCCCCCCCCCCCCAGTTCATTTTCTGTGGTTTGGCTGCCAATTGCCAAAATTACCTGAAATCTGAATTGACCCACAGAATTTCARACACTCCTAATGATTATGGTGATGTGCTATGGGCAAGCAGATGGCACTGGTTCTATATCTCAAAAATTAGAGTGGATAGTGGAAAATGTGGTGCCACTTTTGGAATTAGCAGGTTAAATATACCCAGAAACAGGACTAATCTTTGGGGCACCAACATGTGTGTTGACCAGTGTTATAGCTACACACACCACAGTCTCCTGACACATTTGGGTGGAGTTTTTGTTATTAGCAATCAGGTAGAAATTAACTGCTTCCCGCATTGCCTGGCATGCTAGACCCTGGCAATCTTCTCCATCTTTTCTGCGTCTTTGTTGCTGTCTCAAAGCATGCGCGGACAGTTCCTTTACCTGGCAGCACCAGCGGAGATATAAGTTCCTAAGTGACGACATGGTGGACAGGTAGCTGAGCCCGGTGTCTGTGATCCGCACACACCTGCCAGAAAGGCGGAAGAAAACAGAGCCGTCAGCAGAAATTCCCAAACTTTAGATGGAAAGGGGAAAGTGGGACTCTATCAATCAGTAAGGTATCTGTGAACACTTCTCAATACAACTCTTGCAATTTAATCCCATTTTACCAAACTTATTATTTAATCAAGTTTTATTGTGTTCATTTATTAGGAGTTTTAGCATAGTAATTTGTGTCTGTCTATTTGTCTGTGTATTTTAGTTTTTGTCTTTTATTGTTGATATGGTCAGTGGACTAATCAAGAAACAGATCTATCAATCAGTAAGGAATCTGTGAGCCCTTCTTAAAATATCTCTGCAGCTCACCATTTTGAACCAGACACAGTGAAGACATCTGATCTTGCACTTGGCTATTCTGCTGCTGAATATGCATGCCCACTGTGGAATACATCTCACTATGTTAATGAGACACGGCGCATAATCACAGGATGTCTACGCTCCACACCACTGGAGAAATCACACTGTTTAGCCAATATCGCACCACCTTTCGTTGGAAAGTAGCTGCCCATAATGAAAGGACCAAGACATGGACATCTCTGGCCCATCCTCTGTTTGGATATCAGCCAGCAAGCCAAAACCTTAAATCAAGAAACAGCTTCCTAAGATCCACAGAGATACTCTCAGGAACACCTCAGCAAGCGAGAGTCCAAAAGTAGCAGGCTAAAACCTGGAACCTCAATCCATGGCTGATACAGGATGAGAAACTCCCCCCTGGGCATTCCACAAGTATATATACTCCACTTGACTACCATCCGATCCTCTGAGGATGCCATTACCCCCAGATGCAGGTGAAACATCAGGAGAGAATGCTGTTGAAACATGGCCAGACAGCCCAAAAAGCGCCCAACAATCCAGTGATTCCAGCCATGAAAGCATTTGACAACACAGTGTACACAGATCTATGCAATTATATACTAGCCGTCCCCTGCCATGCATTGCTGTGGCTCAGTCTTGAGATCTGGAAAATAACGTAATGAGAAAGTGTTGGTTTCTAATAAATGTAATTTCTTTATGCTTGTGGGTAAACAGTATTTCTTGTTGTTTCTTTGTCAGTGTTGATGTAGAGATTGTCTGGTTTGCCTACTCTGGAACATGCAACATATAATTGCCCTTCTTTAGAGGTCCCTTTCAAATCTATGATATTTTATTTGTCATATACATATATATGTGTGTGTATATATAAATATAGGAAATAAATAAATATATAAACGTGTGTGTGTGAATCATATATATCTATCTATATCTATGGCTGGATGGCTCTTTGTCAGGAAGGTTTTGATTATGTTTTCTTACCCTGGTGAAGGGATTTGGACTGGATGGCCTTAAGGCAGCATTTCTCAACCTGGGGGTTGTCAGGGGGTACCAGAAGGGTTGCCAAAGACCATCAGAAAACACAGTATTTTCTGTTGGTCATGGGTGTTCTGTGTGGGAATTTTGGCCCAATTCTATCACTGCTCTTTGATTGTAGGTGAACTATAAATCCCAGTAACTTCAACTCCCAAATGTGAAGGTCTATTTCCCCCAAACTCCACCTGTCTTCATATTTGGGCATTCGGAGTATTCGTGTCAACTTTGGTCTAGATCCTTTATTGTTTGAGTCCATAGTGCTCTCTGGATGTAGGTGAACTGTTGCTATTAAGAGGCTGCAACGTACTTTATCTAAGTTGTTGTAAGGATCAATGTTGTTTGTGCTATAACTTTAAGTTGCTGTAAGGTTCAAGGCTGTTTGTGCTACAGTTGTTTCAGTTAATTGAAGAGTTAATTGAGAGTATTATTTTCATGTGTATAAAGATAGCTACTGTGTGTTTAGTTCTTTGCCATTGTGCGTGTTTGCCATTGTGCGTTTATGCTATTGTGCATCTATGCCTCTGTGCCGTTCTACTTTGTGTAAGCCGAGGACTATGCTGCAGATGTCCTGCGAAGACACAGCCATGAGAAGAGGACAAGGATTCCTGCTTATCTCAGCTGAGTAGTGATATCTCTCAGAAGATATTGTTTCATGTTACTTTTGTGGAAACAGTAATCCTGCTACTTTGTTTTTGTATGCTGCCAATACTACAATATTTTCTTTTCTACTTTAAGCCGAAGTCTCGTGTGTTTTTCTTTTATGAGTAATTTCATCACACACACAGTTAACTGGGCTAGAGTCAATCTGCATGCTACTCATGCTAACGCATGACATAGGTTATGGGCCCAGCATAGCGGCATAAGGACTCTAAAGCCCATAACTCTGAGATTTTGGGAGAGTTTTTTGTGTGTGTTTTTGTGCTTAAACAGAAAAGTAAGCAGCTATGGCTCGTCATATGGCAAGCTTACCATTTGAGCGTTTAAATGCTGACAATTACATGGCTTGGAATGTGAAAATGAAGAGTTTTCTCATAAGAGAAGATTTATGGACTGTGGTTGAGACCCCACCTACAGAAGCTTCGAGTGAAGAGGTAAAAAAGCAAGACCAAATTGCCAGGGCGAGCATTTTTCTCGCTGTTGAGGATGGGCAATTAATTTACTTAAGGGACACTATATCTGCAGCAGACTGTTGGCAGAAGTTAAAGGAAGTTTACCAAACTGAAACTTCTGGCATAAAGATTATTTTGACCCGGCAGCTTTATAATTTGAAGCTAAAAAGGGGTGACAACATAACTGAGCATTTGCAAAAGCTCAGGCACTTGTTGATGGAGTTGGAAAATAGACAAATGGTGTTTACAGAAACCCATAAAGCTTTCATTTTGTTATCTTCTTTGGACTCTAGTTGGGACAATTTTGTGTTCAGTATGCAGAGTGTGCCTGAAGCACAGTTAACCTTGAATTTGGTTTCTGCAAGGCTTCTTGAGGAAGAAAGAAGAAAGCAGTTTCTTAAAGAAACAAACGCCATTTCAGAAAATGCAGCTTGTGAAGGGGTTGGATGCAGAAAAAACCCTGCTGTGTGTAACGTAAGGAGGTGCTACAATTGTGGAGATGTGAACCATCTTGTCAAGGCCTGTCCCAAGAAAAAGAAGAAGAAAGAAGAAATGAAGAGGAACCCTGGGTGGCATGACAGAAATGCAAGGGGAAGAAATGCTGATGTAATGACTGTGTTATCAAAGGCTAAGTATGATGAGGCCACATGGTTACTTGACTCTGGGTGTGCAGAGCATTGTGTTAATAACTTAAAATTGTTAAAGGACACTACAAAGCCAGAAATTAATCATGTTACTTTAGCAGATGGATCATTAGCTGAGTGCAAGCTTATAGGTTCAGCATTTGTTCCTAGTTTAGGAAGATATTTAGATAATGTTATGTTGGTTGAAAAACTTGATTTTTGTTTATTAAGTGCATCAAGTTTGTGTCTGCAAGGATATGACATCAAACTTAATAGCTCTGGGTGTACTGTATGGAAAGAAAATAAGTTGTGTGCCAAAGGTAAATTAGTTAACAAAGTATATGTGATGAGTAACAAGGATAGTTCACCAAATGTTTCCTGTGTAAATAACAAACCTATACATAGTGATTGTATTCATTACTTGCATAGAGTTTTTGGTCACGTGAACTTTAATTATCTACAAAAACTATCAAAAGTGACTGATTTAGAGGTAAAGCCATGTCAAAAGTATTTAGACTGTGCTGTGTGCTCTAAAGCAAAAGTAAAGGCACATCCAATACCTAAGAAAAGTTTAAACACAACTACCAGACCATTTGAATTAGTTCACGCTGATTTAGCAGGGCCATTTCCTCTTTCGCTTGGAAATGCAAAATTTATATTTGTGTTAGTGGATGATTTTTCACGATTCACTTATTGTATTATTTTGAAATCAAAGTTTCAAGCTTTCAGTAAGTTCAAAGAGTGGGTAGCCATGGTTGAGAGAAGATTTCCTTTTAAGGTATCATGTTTAAGGACTGATCGTGGTGGAGAATTTATGGGGACACAATTTCAAGACTGGTTAAGAAAGAAAGGAATTAGACACCATAAAACAAACCCATATTCACCTGCTGAGAATGGTGTGGCAGAAAGAAAAATAGGCGTTTTGAAAACTATGAAAGACTGCATGTTAGTAGATGCAAAAATGTCTAATAGGTATTGGGCAGAAGCAATTTCCACTGCTACATATATCTTGAATAGAAGTTGGAGTTCATGTGTAAATAATACTCCATATTATTTGTTGCATAAGAAAAGGCCAGTTCTAAAACATCTTAGAATATTTGGAAGCTATGCTAATGTACTGGTACCTAGACAAACTAGAACAAAAGGTCAGAAAAAATGGCAGAGACTACGTTTTCTCGGCTACCAGGAAGATACCAAGGGGTATCGTTTTATTAAAGACAATAGTAAAATTGTGATTTCAAGAAGTGCAAACTTTGAAAAGAATGCAGGTTGGGAACATGTTCATCAGAATAGTGAAGTGTTTTTTCATTTAAAGGAACATGCACCAACAGGGATAGATTTAAAATCTGAGCCTGACAATCACATTGAGGAACAAAGTGAGGATGCTATAAAAGAAGAGCCTGAGTTAAATTTACAGGAAAGTGATGCTGAAGAGCAGATAGTAATTCCCAGAAGGTCACAAAGAACAAACAAAGGTATACCTCCAGATAGGTTTGTGGTTCAGAGTGTAATGACTTGCCAACCAGAAATGGAACCTGAAACCTTCCAGGATTTAGATAATTGTAATCCTGAAGAACAAAGTAAATGGAAAAAGGCAATGGATGATGAATTTAATTCTTTGTTAAATTTAGAAGTGTTTGATATTGTTGATGTACCAATAGATAAGCCAGTGATTGGGTGCAGATGGGTTTTTAGGAAGAAAGACTTACCTGATGGGAGTTGTAAATATAAAGCTAGGCTCGTAGCTCAAGGTTTTGCGCAAAAGCAATTCGTAAATTATGATAACACTTTTGCCCCAACAGCTAAAGCTGAGTCAATGCGAATTATCATTGCTTTGGCTGAGCAAGAAGGATTTAAGTTGAAACATTTTGATTTTGAAACAGCGTATT